AGCATCGAACCATGACCAAATTCCAACTTGACCTGCGCATTCCTTTGACATATCCATATGTCAATTGTAACACTGTTGGGTTGATAATGAACAGAAACTGTAAATTTCATATCATTTTCAAAGTGAAAGGGGCATTACTCTGCCAAAAATCATTGAACCATGACCAAATTCGAACTTGGCCAGCGCATTCCAAAAACATATCCATATGTCAAATTTGAGTTGAATGTGTAATACTGTTGGGGAGATAATGAACGGAAACTGAAAATTTCATATAATCTTCAAAGTAAAAGGGGCATAACTCTGCCAAAAATCATCGAACCATGACCAAATTCCAACTTGACCTGCGCATTCTCATGACATACCCATATGTCAAGTTTGAGTTGAATGTATTGTACCATTCGGGAGTTAATGAACGGAAACTGAAAATTTCATATTATTTTCAACGTAAAAGGGGCATAACTCTGCCAAAAATCATCAAACCATGACCAATTTCGATCTTGACCTGTATTTTCTCATGACATATCTATATGTCAAATTTGAGTTCAATATGTGCAAAGGTTATTAAGATAATGAACGGAAACTGGTGATGAGGGAAGGACGGAAGGACGGAATGACGGAACAGGGTAACACTATATGCCCCTGCCATTATATGTCGCGGCATAATAAAAACTTTATTTAATTCCAAAAGATTAAATTTTGGAATCTTGTTATCAAAATGTTTCACATTGACCATACAGCCGAGTCATCTTTTGCTTCTTTTGCGGTTTTACAGGAAGTACAGTAATAGTGATTTCGTATTTTGTATTGAAGTCAAAATACTGCCTTGTTTTACATGTTGTTATTTTATCAGTGTATCACATGAGCCGTGTCATGACAAAACCAACATAATGGGTTTGCGACCAGCATGGATCCAGACCAGCCTGCGCATCCGCGCAGTCTGATCAGGATCCATGCTGTTCGCTTACCAACTCATTACAAGTAGAGAAACAGATAGCGAACAGCATGGATCCTGATCAGAATGCGCGGATGCGCAGGCTGGTCTGAATCCATGCTGGTCGCATACCCATTATGTTGGTTTTGTCATGACACGGCTCAGTCATTTTCTTTTAAGTAGCGGCGCTATTTTCTTCAGGTGATATGATTCTTAAATGTTCTTTTATCCATTATCACAAGTTTAAATATAACAGACATGTTTGCCCTTGATAAAGAAAATGAGAATGTATGTGCCTTTAATAAAAGCAACAAAAACAATCATGCATACTTCAATCATGTCATTTATTGAAGAGCGTGATAATCTTCGAAATGAACTTTTTGAAATGACTTATCTGTTTGTTGGACAGCATATAAAAAGTTTTCTCTTAAGATCTGACAAGTCATGATTATTTAAACAAGAATCTCAGCTTACTTAAGAATATATATATATATATTACAATAACATTACTAAAGTTGGTTGAAGCATTTTAAGCCACAAGAAGGCTTGAAATACAAAATCATCTATTCAGTTATCCACATGTAAAGGGAGACGTTATTCACAGATACACTGTAATTATGACTTATTGGAGTAGCCTCCCTTGATTTTATAAGTCAAATTTTGTAATTAATCTGTTGTTTCTTTTTCGCAAGTTACAAAGGTTTCATCAGTTTTAAGTTTCGTTTCATCAATAACAAATATCATTGATAAATAATTATACATTTAAACAGCAACAAATAATGCCTTTCATATCATATACTATATTTTAACTTTTTTCTTTGTCATTTTGATTTTATTTATTTTTTCATCATTTCAAATTTCAAATGGCAATACTGAATTTATTATGTCTAAAAATTCAATTGTTAAATGACAAAAAAAAACATTAATTATTTAAAATACAAGAGAAATTAAGCTATTTGTTACCAAACTAAATGCAACAAAATAAAAGAAGTTCCTTCTATTTACAAGTTCCTTGAATAAAACATTCCGCTGGTCTTTAATGACCATTGATTGTGATACTTTGTTCAATTGTTTGAAGATTCAATTCTGCCGGTGATACGAGGCTATAAAGTTATTTGCCTATGTATCACATAGCATTTAACTACTGTTAATATAATGCAGTTTTGTACTATTATGTTGTTTTTAGTATGTAAGAATTTTGTTTAAAATATTAACAAGTGACTTAATACGATTCCTCTGAGGATTTTGATATGACGTCGTGGAAATATCTTTTTAGTGATTAATAGTTTATTTGATGTAGGTCTAAATTAATAACTTGTGTGTGATCAGTTGCTCTTGATGTCTAATTAACATTGTGAAAAATGACCCAAAATTGAAAAGCGCTATAACTGGTTTTTTACTCAGTAAGTTAGGAAAAGCAAAGATTACAATTTATCTTTTGCATATACTAAACTGTTTAAGTGTCTCAGACGATGTATTAAAGAAATTTAAATTAAGGCTTCTAGATCTCAGTTGACTTTCTTTAACTACCTGATTCAATCATTATAAAATGGTCATCTAGTTACTTTATGTACTCACCACAAAAATTAATACGATATGGTTGTGAGAATTAATTTTCATTTTGTTCAACAGTAAAGGCAAAATCGCCTTTAAAATGAATACGCTTGTTTTCATGTATAATCTATTGATAAAGTTTAATGTATAAGCATATAAAGTGTTCGTTATCACTCTGAAAACAACTTATCATCCCTTATCCCTTTAATTCCCCTATGTGCCCGTTTTAGTTAATATTATTTCACATTACATTTCACCCTTATGTCCGCTCTAGGTTTTTTGAGTGTGTCGGGCCGCGTCCTGTGAACGTTGCCTTTGCCTTGTTGATCTTTATTCTTGTTCTTTTATCACACAATGTTTATCAACCTCCGAGGTGTCGAGGGATTTAACCCCTCTTTATCTAGAAAATTGCTGTTTATTTCATAATTCACATATACATTATTTTTTATATTTATAATGTGAAAGAGGATACATATGTGATTAAATTTTATCAAACAGACAGCAAACTCGTTGATAAAAATGGTTTAAACCTTCGAAACGTCGGAAGTTGATACATTTTGTGAAATAGACAGTTATTTATGAAGTGTTTATAATATTTATAATCTTAAACGAATCGATCTAACACTATAATGATTTTTATATCATTTGTATGTCAGGCATATAGTGAAACATGCGAAATATGTTAACATACTTTTATAATACCAGGGTTTGCTTCCAGTGTTTCAGAACAAAAATCCAAGATGTCTTAACATAAGATCAAAGATAAACACTCTGTCTGTCAGTGTTTTATTACGAAAGGTCTGCTAAAGTGAACTTCTGTCGCGCTTGCACTCATTTATCTTCATGCTGAGCGCATTTATCTGCTTATTCCATCACTTGATCACAGGCACATAATTAAAATATTAGTTTCTGTTCTGTTAGCATTGTAGGAATTTCATTATTCCCTTTTTTTTGCAATTGAGCAAAATTTAATTAAAAATTAAAAAATTAAAATCTACTTTGTTATTTCAAATAAATAGTGCAGCTATAAAAAACTTTGAAATACTAGATCAACAAGGAAGGGATGCATTCCATGAACACATCCCCAACACAGGACCACTGGCATGAAGCCCAGCCGGATACCAAACATGACAGGACACAGGGGCAAACAAACGAAAGGGTTTTCATGTCATTAGCGTTATTTCTTACAAAGTTATTACATTGAATGGCCACAATCTTTTTTCTTTGTCAATAACTTTATAATTATATACCGTTAACTTTGGGTGTGTTGATGCACTTTGATGAGTTCTTGCCTGGACGCCCAAGGTCAATGCCTTATGCAATTGAGGCACTGTTTAGATTATATAGCGACATTCCAGTTTAATGATTAATGATTAATAAATAAAATAATGTCAATAGCAACGATCTTTGCATCGAACGTCTATAGCTATAATAACACATGTTAATAATATAGCTTTGAAAGACAGACAGAAAAAGGGAGGAAACGTAATAATGTCAAACCTGATCATATCTGGGGATGAAAGAGAAACTCACTGATTGAAAATGGGAATTTAATTTATTTATTGCTTTTGAATTACCTCTACCGCAGTTTAAGATAAAAATCGACGAACAAAACTGTTATATGTTTAGGGAATGTGCCACATTCTCTTTGAAGTTTATAACGCGGGTTTTTATTCTTGTACGCATGCGCAAAATCTGAAAATCAGCAATTTCATTTTTTTTAAAACAGAATGACTTTCTTTTGGTGACGAGAAAATGTATGAAATGTAATAGACGTACTGTTTAGAATTTGACTTAATTTTTATTTTAAATCAACATAGCGTGCTGTAATTTGATTTTGCAGTATTTCATACCATTTGAAATAATTTTGTTATGATTTGAATATAAATATAAATGTACTTATGTAATGAAATTACACATCTTTACAAGCAAAAGGAAATAATGTCAATAACAAAATAGCATATGCATCACTTTGAATTTCTTTTTATATCAATTGATTCATTAATCGAATTTAGATATCGTACAAAACATACATAACACACTAAGATAATTTGTATAAAAATAAAATACAAATACAATACAAAAATAAAAAAAAAATCGAAATGTACGTAAAATTCAACTTTAGGCTTCCGTTAAGCATTTTATTATGATTTTTTTTAAAGACGCTGACATTTAAGATGGTGTCGATTCTTGCTTAACATCAGAACAAAATATGCCGCAGACATAAAAAAGACTTCTCATGAATAATGAATTAGCTTCTATTAGTAAGCTTGTTTTAACACTATATGATGTTTTCCATTGCTGAAAATCATGTTGTTGTTGTTGTTGTTGTTATTATTGTTTAATGTCCAATAGCTCTTTTCAACGTACACTGTCATCATAAATTCACATGTGTCTAACCATTTTTATTTGAATGTTAGCAATGACGTCATTTTAATAATGTTGCTTATTGTTCAGCAGAAACTCGGTAGAGCCTCGTTTCCTCGTAAACAGTTAACTTCGAACTAGATATTTCTGTCTGTAACAGCACCCGTGGTAAGATCCTTATATCCTAAATATAGTATTTTCTATTTTCTACTCGTTGACGTAATATTTGCCGAAAAATAACTTTGATAGTAGAAAATCTTAATATGTTTATGTGTTACAGACATTTAAGACTATATGGGACTTTAATTAAAATGTGTCGAATTAAATACAGCGTTGAATCTAGGTCACCCGACGATGATAAGTGAATGTTGTATGAATTATACTCGAATTTTCCGGACACTCTGCAAAGACTTGTTACTTTCGATTAGCTCTACAAACACTAGCCGGTACTGGTTCTTCAACTTTAAAGTTGTTATAATATTGGCCGAGGTCTGTCAAAACGGAGGTTCCAGTTTCAAACAGATTTGCGTGTTCACTGATAAATGCATCAGGTGCGGCTCTTCGATGGACATACCAGGCGTATCTACAAATTAATACAACAATCAATTAGTTTACAATGAACTCATAAGGCCGACTGAATGCCATTGCGCTCCTGTTCTTAAAGGGTTTTGTATGACTGTTTATTGACTTAAAGCAAGCGGTTACATTTTAAGAATGGCAATCAATGTAGGTCTAGATGTTTGGAGTTGTGTAAAAAGACAAAAATATTAAAATTAAACTTTTTAATAAAGCCACAGCACTGGATGACTTGATTTCTGATTATTAGTTAAAACACATTTCTTTAACAAGCATTAACTTTAAACAAAATATGACGAAATCGCCCTTAAATCATAAAAAAGAAAGAATTTCAAAGAAATAATGTTAGCTGTATTTGACTGGGCCAATTCTTAGATGGCAGAAGATTGCTTCCGCTTATCTCCTCTAAAACTAGCAAAAGCGAAGTTCAAAAACTAAACATGACAATGGTGGATTTGCGAATAAAGCTTGCACTGTTAATTCCCGGATTGTGTTCATTCAAACCTTTTAAGATGACACTGTCATGATATTCTACGAGGGATGTTCAGTATATGTAACGAATTTTTATGAAACTACACCAATAGATAATATAAAACTAGATACTTTTTTGCGCCATATATAATAATAACGCCATGAAAACATGACCTCACTTCCTGTTTGGTTCAAATGAAAAGTGGCGTGTGGTTCCCACATAAGAATGGAATCAATCGAAACGTGCTCGGCTATTATTCATAATAAGCTCGGATTGAAAGTAGTTCTACAATGTACCACGTGGTTTTAGATGTAAAAAAGAAACTATATAGTGTAATCTTCGATATTGTTAAATGAAAGAATATATTTTACATCCAAAGGAAAATAAAGTCTGTTTCGGTACAATTATGATTGAAAATATGCTTGACATTCATTTTTAAATTAAATATGCCCACTTATGTACACTTTTAAACAAATCCGACTTAATGTCAACAGGTTGGCGTTATGAACTTTCGGTTTCTATAACCATTATTACAAGTATATAAATAATGCATTGCTTACTTTTATATCTTCGAATTTACTTAATTTAGTTGCACTTTTACTTGATATATTAAAAAAAAACTTGTCAACAACTTCCAGCATTAAATTACTATTTGTTTTTCATTTTTAGCTTCTTAGCTTAGCTTACGCCGAAATACCGTATAAGTTCCGTGTATTCATACTATTGTGTCCGAAGACTGACGGAAAGGGCCGAAAAGTTGCGTTTGAAAAGGAATGCGTATGCCCGAAACAAGAATATAAAGTAGGTTTAAGATCAGAACGCATAAAAATGCAAATTTCAAAAGCAAGCAACAAATGTGAAGGGTGATTATACTGTAGGAATATCTAACCTGAAGACGTAATCTGCTTGCTCTAAATAAGGTAATAAATCGATCATGTAATACAGTTGCTCTTCCGGGGAGTAGGAATTAGGACATGCAAACTCCGTAAGCCATATTTTCAATCCGTACCTGTCGTAAAGTTGTTGAAGAAATATCATTGTACTCTGTGGGTTACATGAGTAGTGATGGGTTGCAAGGTAGTGAACGCGGCATGGCACAACTGGATCGCCACCCGGTATTCCACAAAGGATGCGAAAAAAATCATCGAACCACGCAAATGTGTCGCTTATACAGTTTGTCGAACCTCCGCTACATGGCGCAGCGGCTGGACTAACGATAAGCATTTTACCCCTTGCAGCATTCTCAATTATGTTCCAATTATCGGCTGCAACCTGCGGAGAAAGGTTTGCTTGGCTTACGTGATTAGGCTCGTTAAAGCCTAAAATAAACTCATTTCTATTATCAACGCTGTATGTGGATGTAGACCAATTTGGATTGTAACTCCATATCATGGGGACGAATGGGGCAAGGTATTTGTCGTTTATAGTACATCCACTCGCTGTTTAAATATCGCCAAAATTGGAGTCCCAATTGTACCTGATGAAATAAAAAACAATCAGAAAAAGGTTCATAACATATACAAAATGTAATAATCATCATGTAATTAAAGAAAATCCTTTTGCTAGAAGTTACGAGTGCGAATTACGCTGGCCTATTTCTTTCCACCTCAAAATTGTATTACGTACAGTCCGACATTTAAGAATTATTATGAAAAAAAGATATATCTTCATCCTTGTATAATTTTACCAATGAAATATGGTGCTTTATTATATACTTATAAATGGAATATTGCGAAATATCGATTAAATAAAAAGCGTATTTTAATCTTCATCCTTGTTTAATTTTACCAATGAAATATGGTGCTTTATACATGTATTGTATACTTATAAATGGAATATTGCGAAATATTAATGGAATAAAATGCGTATTTTCATTTTCAGCATTTTAACTGTAAAAAAAAAATGTTCACTGCTGCAGTGAAACATGTTTTTCGTATTTTCACTGGCATCTCTTCCCACCTTTTTTTAAATTTCAGCCAATTCCAAAAAAAAAAAAACATTTAAGAGGCAAAAAGATGTATGATAAACAAACATTCAAGTTTTTTTCTCTAAATACGGTTTAATATAATCACAAGGTATGAAAATTGTAATATTTCACTCGTGACTATTGCTTCTCATGGCATAATTTGTTTACATTACATACAACTCGATAAAAATAATTCCCGTATGTGAAATAAAGAAGGGTAAAATGAAATAAAAAGTTGTTTATTTTCGTGTTGTTTTTTTTCTTTTTCTTTATTTCTTTCTTGTTTGTTTGTTGTTGTTGTTGTTGTTTTTTTTTTTTTGGGGGGGGGGGGGTTGCTTGTTTTTTTTTAACACTCAACATGATAAAATTCAATATATTTCGTCAAAATATACTCCATATTTTACTCACACGAATAATTTCCTAGTATTATTATTCACAATTACTTGCATTATGAATATAATGAAAAAGATGATTAGCTCATAGGGATTGACGCAAAATTTTGCATTGTTTAGCAAGTATATATTAATTTAATATTGATTAACCGTTTGAATTATCATTGTACATAGATTCGTGTGTTATTTTGTCTTGGCCATATACATTCTATAAATATTTTAAGCCCAAATGCATATTAATGCCGATTACTTAATAAAGATTGACTGATTGATTGATTGATTGATCGATCGATCGAATTTGAGTCAGTTGTTGCAGAATAACGCACGGTTCGACTTCAAATGCGTAGGAATGTAAACACGAAGGTCAATAGCCGTGATTAATTAATTACCAAGCTTTGGAACGATAAGCCATGCATTATTTTACTACAACAAATGGGGAAAAATCCATTCCTACATATAGTTTACTAATGCAAAAGAGAAATGGTTAAATGTTTAACTGCCACATTGAGCGTAGAAGTAATTTTCCTGACATCATTTGGTTTATTGACGTTATATATGACGTGCAAGCATTCTTTGTTACGTCGTGCATATATCGTGTAACAATGCACTCGACTGTCTTATCTGTTTGATAAGAAAATAATAACAATAAGAGATTAATACACGACAGACCGGATGGTGATATAACCGTCCGCAAAGTGAATAATGGCACGGGGGGGGGGGGCTATGATTTCAACTGATTATGAGTGTCACGTGACCGATTATGAGTTTGTGGCCACGTACAAAACTGAAATTTTACGTCAAAAAAGCACGGACCGCTTAATTTTATAATGAGAACTTAGCGTAATTTGTACAAACAGACTTATATAACAAGATAAAGAAAAAGAACTACAAGACAATTTAATACTGAGAAACGGAACTTTGGTGAACACATAAGGGAAACAATTCTGTATAAGTTTCTTACAGCATGATACAGAAAATTCAACTACAGGAATTTTAAAGTAATTTAAATGTACTACTTTCATATGACCTATCAAGTTTTTTGAAATAAACATCATAGATTGAGCGGAAAGTGATAATCGTTTCTGAAATGAATTATGCCCTCGGACTGAAGCCGTCTGTGCTATTTGTGACTATGCGATCCGATTAATTAAATTTACCCTTCCGACCTTACGTGAATTAACTTTTATTTTCCTAATATAAACAATAAATGAAATTGATGCTTCAATCATGACGCCAAAAAGTGACGTCATAAAATTCTACAAAGACAACATATCTTTAAGATAAGGTAGGAACTTGTATTCTTACCACCATCGTATATTAGTTAAAGCGTCCAGATCCCCACATTTGAATGCTTGTAAGTCGATACCATACCCTTTTTTCTTAGACCCATGTACAGAAGATACGATATATAGCCACGCAAATATCCACCAATGAGCTTTATCCATAACTGTACCTGTTTGAACAAAAGCATTATTACACTCAATGTTTCGGGCAACAAATATAGTCGCTTCCACGTGATATTGTAAAAGTTTGTTTGCTTGTTTCTTTAGTTTTACAGCTAGACACAACGAAGGTGACAGTATGATGTTGAAGCGTGACACAACGAATGTGACAGTATGATGTTGAAGCGTGACACAACGAAGGTAATAGTACATTGTTGAAACGCGACACAACGGTGGTGATGGTATGATGTTGAAGTGCGACATAACACAGGTGATGGCATGGTATTGAAGCCCGAAACAACAGAGGGGACAGTACGATGTTGAAGTGCGGCCAAACGAAGGTAACAGTACGATGTTGAAGAGAGACACAACAAAGGTAACAGTACGATGCTTAAGCGAGAGAGTAAGATTGTGATAGTATGGCAATACAACAGTGAAACGATAGGGTAAGGTGAGCAGTGAATGTAAAATTAAATTCTTAAAATAATTTCCACAATTTACTAAACTGAAAGAAAACAGGAGAACCACCACCCTAAAGATTCAGTATGAAAATTGTACACTAGTTTCCTTAGGAAAATGTTAATACAACATTTTCTATGGTTATTATTAGGCACAAATTCATGGTAAAGCTTAAAATAACCTTTGCTGATGCCAATAAATTGTCCACCAACCGCATTTAAATGTTTCACAATCAAAGAATTAATTATTAATGAATCAATTTGTACATGTATAACAATTAATGACATCAAAACATTGCTATGAAATAAAGTCATTACTTACTTTTTTGTCACAAGTCCATTTATGAAGTTGAAAAGTGAATATTTTTTACAATTATAATATTTTTAAAACTTTATTTGCTATTTCATCTCTTTGCGCTATTACCTTGACAAAGAGAACCCTGTATAAATAACATCCAATCTTTTTGTGATACAATTTGTTACCAGTGCGTACAAAAAGATGTATAAAATAAAATGATATATATGATAATATGGCAAATTCAAATTACGAAATGAGAAGTTCTGCCCTCGAAAAATAAGAAGATCATATAAATTTTAGATTTTTATCTTATTTAGTTTTCATATGTCATAACACATATAACATTAAATGTATATCATCGTGATCCAGCAAATATTTAAAGTAAAATAACACTCATAAATTACAAAATTGGATAATGTTTATAGGCCCACAAATGCCTTTTTAAACTTTTTTTTATTTTTTTTGTTTGTTTTTTTGTACTTCTATAAGGTTGCTCATTACCCAATTACTTTAAGCATCTTTTCCTCCTGTTGCTTTTTTTGACAATTAGTTACAATTGGAGTGATTTAGTGTTTTGTATGGTAGACAAATAGTCCACATAATAAAATTTGCTAATTTTACGACATATAATGGCCAGTGAAAATAAGTTCGGGCCAGTAAAACTCTTTAGAAAATTTAATTAAATTTATATTAGTAGAATAAATACAAAACTGGAATTCTGGCTAGTAAATTCAAAATCCTAAATTCATTGACTGCATTTTCTTCGGGCATGTTCTAAAACCAATATATAAATTTATAAAACTCATTCTTTCCTTCTAAACAGGTAAACACGAAAACAATAATTATAATTCTTAGACATTTGTTCCTTCAAACAACTAAATATTTTCATTCGATGACTGAATACAGTGTTAAAGATGTACTGTTTGTTGAATGATGCTGGTGGGTGATATAGGGTAGCACAATTTACGTAAATTCGTAAAAAAGTTCAAAAGGAGGGGGTGGGGTAGAAGGTAATTAAAAAACAACAGCATTATATGTAGTCAAAATGTCGATGCAATCTACCTGACTATTTTTAGTATGAAAATCCTAACCCTATTATTATAATTTTTCATTTACATTTTGTCAAGGTGTGTGGAAATTATGACATAGGACAATATAGTGCCAAATAATATGTAACAATGCTTGGTTTGTTTCCTATGTATAGAAACTATCTATGTTCTTAAACTTTAACTTTTTTGAAATATTTGAAATGGGTTCGTAAAATATATATCTATATCGATATGAGTATAAAATTAGTTTTATTTGACTACCGTACATCATGTAAAATTGCTTTTTTGTAATAAAGTAATGGTTTGAATAAAAATGAATAAAAGTAATATTTTGTTTAATGATCAATGACTTTTTTTATTAAAGTAGCTGTTTTGATTATTGATGAAAAGATACAAAATCCTGTCTGGAATATAAAGCGGATAAAAAATCTGGTAAGATATTTGCAAAACTAAAACAATTTTTTAAAGAAAGAAGAAACTACACAGAAAAGAAATTTTAAATAAGAAAAACAAATTTAATGTAAACAAATCAAAACGGCCATAAAATTAATATAAATATGTCTGAACTAGTTTCAAATACTAATTAAGAACTCAACAACATTTTGAGGGTATTCTGGAAAATGATTTTTTTTCGAGAAATAATGTAAGCAATTAAAGAGTAAAATATTATCTTATTTTGTAAATGAGTTATTTGAAACTAATATTCTGAAAATAAGATATACTTTGTAAAAATCCAGCATAAGGTTGTCAATGACTAAATATTATAGAAATTAACAAATAGTGGACATACTTATTTTTAATTTAAAGTAGCAAATACCTGTTTCTTATATAGCATTTTTCAAATTGTAAAATTTTCTTTTTCCCTTTCATATACAGTAGGCTATAACAAGCATAAAATATTTTGTTTAATACATTTAATGTTTCCATTAATCACACTTGTTTCATTCCAATAGTTTCGAAAAAAGCGCTCGTAGCTTTCTACTCAATCCTTTTTGCAATTGACTGATACTTTGGGAAGTAAATTATCTTATATCAAAAAGAATGCTTTGTTTATTATATGCCAAACGATAACTTAAAGAGTAAATAATACTGAACATACAAACTTGTTTTATATTCCCGACATATGAGTCCGTCATATATAACAAAATTTCAAAACCCCAAAATAGAATTTTGTATTGCACACGTTGAATATCCTAATAATGAAAGAAATATTTCAGTTTGACTAATATTTAAAGTTCATATGAAAACGTTTGTAATATATCAAATGTCATTGAACATATCAGCTCACCCTTGCAGTTAATGCGTTACATAAATACACCAATTATTACATTATCAATGTAAAAAAAATATAATTTCATGGATGAAAGTCTTTGTATTTGTTATAGGTGTAGCTTATATTCGCAATAGAATTGGTTCTTTTTCACACAGATTTTTTTTTAAATTGTCATTTGAAAAGCCATCAATTATGTTTTTTAATGTACCGCATAAGAGGGAAAGAAATAAAAAGTCAAAACTTATTGCGAACTTGGAGAAAAATGGTAATAAAATGCCTCATAAAATCGCATTGTACCTTAATAAGCAACAAAATAGTGGTTACATTATTCGATATATGGTTAATCATACGTCTAAAATGTACCGAAAAAAGATTAAGTCTTAGATGTATTAAGTACAGGGTAGCTAGTAATTTTATTAAGCCTTTTGACTGTTTATCTGGATGACATTTTTAAAATTTAGAATTCAGATACCTTTGTACTATTCAAACATAATCACAATTTTCTTATTTTAGGTCATATTTAAGGATAAGATCATCTTAAAATGTATATTGAATACGGACCCTGGGCATTCATATTATCATTAATACCAACATACTACATATGTATGTCGAAAGCATAGTACCATTACCCTGCTTGGTTTATTAATAAAAACGTCAACTTAACATGTTTTGTTTAAATTATATACAGAGGTCATTGCCCTAATTAACATATAGTAGTGTTTGACCTGGTGAGATGGGACGTCCCAAAATTCCCTGTCACTAAACTTCCTGGTTTCCTGTTGAATTGGCAAGCAAAAACTGCTCATATCAATGTATCTGATTGCATCCATGAGTCAAAGTATCAGGAGAACTTGCGTTTGTTTGTTGTTTGTTGTTGGTGTTGTTGTTTTTTGTATGATTGTTGTTTATTTATACAATGTACCATAATATAATATACTACATAAACAACATTTTGATCATCATAACTATAAACGATATGACACTATTAACTTTTTCCAAAAATGCTTCAATCCGTATTAACAAAAACGTATTTTCCTATTTACTGGCCTGTTATAGGCACCTTATGCATCAGAAACGACTTTGAGAAAGGGCTATGGTGGTTAAAGAGCATGTGAGATGTTTATTACTGAAAGAAAGTAGAGCTATGTGCAATTATATGTCATGATAGTAGCAAAATGTAAACAAAGTAGTATTTTGACTTCCATACAAAATACTAAATCACCTTTATAATATTTGTACTTATTGCCAAAATGCAACAGTAGCAAATGATGGTTTAGGTAGATGGCGCCAATAAGTATCTTTTGGAAAATAATATAAAAATTATTTGAGATCTAAAACTAAAAACGTTTCTGAGGCATAATGTGCCTTTAAGCTATTTGAAGGAAGATGGAATCGAATTTCCGTTCAAAAGTTTTATTGTTTTAATGTTATTATGCTCATGTATTTAAACATAAACAGACATAGAATGTAATTATGAAAATTATAAACCTTTATAGTCAGTTTTATAAAAGGAGTAACAAAATACATGTAATAATATGATAAAACTACCATTTTTATTTAGAGAAAGTAACATAAAAAGTTTTCACAAAAAGAGAACACATGTATACTTATTTTCAGCATGAACACATATACGTTGATAGATGTTATTTTCAAAATATTGTTAAAATGATGAAGAAAGAAATAAGAAGCTCTCGTCAAATAAATATTTCCTGGAGATAAATACTTTGTTGTTGTTTTTGTTAATGTTGTTGTGCAAAATGCGAAACAATAAAAAGGTTTTAAGCACTAGTATCTCACTAAATTGCACTCATTATCGATTTTCAAAAGGTATATTTCAGCATTTTGATCTGTAAGTTTTTCAATCTTTATACTTTTAGGCGTTTTTACTTGAATTCCTTAATAGAAAAATTGCTCGTTGACAGAAAGC